ACATGTATATTACACCTACACTTCATTTCGTATTATAACCCCTCGCACGCAAATCATATGCATTTCCACTTCCACGTCACGTGTCACACGCGCGTATTGTCTAACCTGTCACTGCACTTGATGCCCTTGCGGAGTTTCTTGACCGAAGATCCGAAGATCATGCGCACACGGTATGTCTTGATAAACAACGATCCGAAGGTCAGGATGAACCCAAAGTGCCACATAGTCACACCAATCATGCACACCGCCACGCTGTCAACCTCCAGATACGCTATTAGCGGCTGCGGGGATAAATGCATACGAAGGTGAGAACAAGGCGATGCAGTGGTTGTTAAGACAAAAGACTCGGTTGTTAAGGCAATGGACTGGTTGATAAGGTAATACACTGGTTGTCAAGACGATGTACTGGTTGCTCTGTCGATGGACTGGTTGTTCAGGCGACAGACTGGTGTTATGGCAATGTACAGGTTGTTAATGCAATATACGGCTCGTTAAGGCGATTGTCTGGTTGCTAAGGCAATGAACTGGTCGTTAAGGCGATATGCTGGTTGTTAAAGCGATGGACTAGTTGTTAAGGCGATGGACTGGTTGTTAAGGCGATTGAGTAGTTGTTAAGGCTATAGAAGGCAATAAACTTAAATAGTATATATAAGTGTGATGTGTAAGGGTGAAGATACAAAAAAAGTGCGGCATTTTGAACAGGGGCAAGTGTGCACAGCGTGTGTGTGGGCGTGTGTGGTCAGGAGAGCTGAGAGAGAAACGCAACAGAAATGCTAAATGCAAGGCAGAAACAGATTGTGCGTAGGCATCGCAATGAGTGCATTTGTAAACGAAGGCCAAGCAGACAATAAAAGATTCACCGAAATCGCGGTCATGGGTGGATGTAGCACACAAGCTCACGTATCAAAGCAGCACCCAAGGGACAGGTAGGTATATACGACCTAACCACACTTACCACAGGTAGGTATATACAACATAACTACATTTACCACGGGTAGGTATATACGACACAACTACACGTACCACTGGTAGGCAATTTACGACATAACCACACTTACCACGGATAGGTATATACGACATAACCACACTTGCCACAGGTAGGTATATACAACATAACTACACTTACCACAGGTAGTTATTTACGACATAACTATTCATACCAGAGATAGGTATATACGACATAACTACTGACCACAGGTAGATACATACGACATAACTGCACTTACCAGAGGTAAGTATATACGACATAACTACACTTACCGCAGGTAATGCGATCAAAGCACCAACCAGCATGATGCCTATGAATAGTGGACTGGCTCGCCTGAGACGCGGAGTGTTGCGCAGCACAACCACAGCGATCAGCCCACTCACCACCAACAGCTGCGCCCAGGGGCATAGGGTATAGGGTTTGAGAGTTAGGGCTCAAGGATTGGGGTTTGGTTTGTGTGGGTCTTGATTGCACGGTGTTATTAGAGAGGAAAAAGTCAGCGAGAACGACACAATAGAACAGACCAATAAAGCACACACGCATAAAACACAAACGCTCCTGCAATGCCGAACACATACACACACCTCACTCATCACGAAAGTATCACTGATAAGCTTGCTTACGAATACATAGGATTGAATATCTGCAGTGTTGGGGTGGACTAGGCGTCAGACTGGAGGTTCCTTCAATACACAAATGATTCTGTTGTAGATAATGAGTTCTTGGCAGTACTAATTGCGATTAGTTTCTTGTACCTCCAGACATACCCAATGATAAGTTTAAACACTTTTGCAACTAGTATCTTATACTGACAAACATAACCTTACCCAGTTTAAACACTAATTACATTTAGTTCCTTTTACCTACAGGCATACCCCACAATCAGCTTATTTGGACGGTACTGGTGTACGATCAGACAATGAAAGTGTAATTGTACGATTAAATAATTAAAGTGTACTTGTACGGCCTCAACGACTCTCTGGGAAACATGCAGGAAGTGTCCATGCATACGGCACGAGGAGGGTCCAATTATGTGACACGGCACGCCAAGTATTCGTGTCCAATTATATGACAAAAGTGCCATGATGTTTATAGGCACTTTGGCCGCATACTCACCTCACTCAAGCCCACAAGCAACCAGCACACTATGATGATCCCTGTGCCCAGTTCTCCCGTTGCTGTGTTGACGAAACAATTAGTTAGTTCAAAATAGAGAATTGCCACGGACGTACATGCATACATACCAAAATGATGAGATGCATACATAAGATTGTAGTGTGTACTACATCCACAAATACCAAAAAAATTAGATTTCTCACGCGTATCTGTATTTAAAATCAGCGTATGTGCATGCAACGATACACAGTGCGAGAAAATTCTTTTTACACGAATACAAAACCTC